TATATATATATATAAGCATTAAAATTTTTTTTTCACATCGAGTTAAGTATAACGCTTTACAACGAACATAAAAATAAGCAAGAGTTTGCTCTTTTTTGGTAATCAGAAAAGCAAGCAATAAGCCAAAAAAGAGAAAAGAAAACTAATCCGTAGATTTTTTGTAATTTTTGATTTCGAATTAATGTTCAACAAATTATTATTAGTCCCCATTACCAAATCAATAAATTTTTTAAAACACTTTCTGACTGGATAATATTGAGCAAACAGTATGTAAGCAACCAGTGTGCTTGTACTCTTGGATTATATTAATATAGTTTAATAAGGAACATAGCGAACATACCAAGAACAAAAACCAAAATAAATGGTTGTCCCTTTGTTTGCATGACAGTATTTATATATTTACTTGCCGCCTATGGCAACAAGTTTGGTCATCTTTGAAAATTATCTTGTAACAGTTTATAAATATTTTTAATAACCAATCCGAATGGATAGCGCAACTGTATTTACATATCATAATTCTCCAACCCCATCCTCCGATTCTAACACCTTAATTAGTTATAAACAACATATAAACCATAATAGGAAGCTTAATAAGAAGTCAACTCTAACCTGTTTAGTATCCTCCCAATAGGCGTCGTGTCAAAAAATGACATGGGCGACCTTAGGATGCTCCATAACATTGTTCTGTGAAAACGAATCGAAGCTCTAGTGGAAGCCACGGCGAGAATGAAAGTAGCTGATAGAGTACATAAGGCTGAAAATAGAGGGAATCAACGTGTGGATCATTGTAAATTAAAATGTTCCAAAACAATTCAACAATTGAATCATTCTAAACCAAAAGGGTTAAAAAATTACAACGATTCTACATGGAAAAAATTCGTAAGAGCCACTGCCTCTATTTTGAGTGCAAAACATTTTGTTTTGTGGCACAGAAATACTATAAGACTTAAGAACTTGAAATTGCGAGGTAGTGCAAAAAAGTGTACAGGAATTACGATGAAATAAAAAAATTAACATTTTATAGTTTGTTCGAGAATTATTAAACTTGTTAGGAAAAATACAACAGGAAAGCAACTTGCTGAAAGGGTCACATTTGTTTATGAACACAACTAAGAGTTTTTATTTTTCTTTTTCAAAATCCTAATTTGTTCCAAAGTTCTGGAAATTTTTATGCTAATTTTTTTCGATTTTTCTTGCTTTACTTTAGATTTTGCTTCGTTGCTCATCTATGAGATTTAGAAACTTGAAATTATGAGCACAAATATACAATGAGTTCGACGGAATGGAAAAAATAATTATTAACTGTTAAACTTGCAGTAGTTAAAAAAAAAAAAGAAAAATACGTTGGTTAATCCATTATCTACTTGTTAGTCCAGATTGTCTGCTGAAATGACACTACAGAGTTGAAATTTGACGTGCTGATAAAGACCAATTTTATACGTTCGCACTCGAGTATATTTCAATCAAAAGCAACGAGAAGGAGGGAGAGATCACATGCAGTCAGATATAAATCTTAACACTCATAGTGAAATTTTCAAAAGTAAAGCAAACTTAATAAACAGCGATAAAAACCGTTCCGTATTTGAAATGTTATAAGTCAACATATAAAATTACTTCGCATTTATTTCTACTTTTTGAATCTCACAATCTGCATACCTTAAGGTCTGGTTTCTTAGGACAGGCGCCTTATCTGGGCGTCAACGGGACGTCAACGCCTGGTTTCTTAGAACTAGCGCCTTATCTGGGCGTCAGCGGAAAGTTGATGTAGAGCTGACTCCAAAAAAATACTTTTTTGTTAGCTCAGCGTAAGCAGTCGGTCCAACGCAGACATTATCTCTCATTGCACTTGCGTTAATAACGTAAACAAATATTTATTTTGAATTTGTATTGATTTTGTTATTGTCGACCAGTGTTTTAGAGAACAAATAATGACTTTGTCCAAGAAAAAACACATTATAGCTGAACGAAATGAAGAGTGCTATGTTTAATGAAGAAGGTATGTTTAATGTCAAAATCAAAATCTTGGCAGATTTCAATGTGCTGTTGGATGTTGTCCGCCATTGCTTCTGTGGTTAACGTCACGTTGTAATCCAACTGCAGTTGAGTTGGACAGCAATTGTAGTTCAAGATGAGCGTTCGATGACGTATACTATCAAACTCACAAATGGACCAATCAGAGGTTAGCGCTGATTTCTAGCTGACAGCGTCCTGTCCTAAGAAACCAGGCCTTTAGGTAATTTTTTTCTCAGGTACAGATGAGTTAGTTTTACTTTAACACGTCATTTTGCTTATAAGCAATCAGCTGGCAACGACTTCATAGGTCACATGTGTGGCTATCTGTGGTCTTCTTGAAGTGCAAGTACCCAATTGTTTTTTTTTTTCGAGCACCGTTTTTCTATTGCTGCTTGTGTTAGCAGGATACATTTAGGACTATATAGCTCATATGTTCTCAGATTGAGAACAAATAATTTTTTCAATAAATAAATAAGTAAATAAGAGTAGAAACTTAGTTATCTTAAGGTCTGGTTTCTTAGGACAAGCGCCTTATCTGGGCGTCAGCGGGACGTCAACGTCGCGCTGACGCCAACAAAATACTGGTTTGTTAGCTCAAGGCCTGGTTTCTTAGAACTAGCGCCTTATCTGGGCGTCAGCGGAAAGTTGACGCCAAAAAAATACTTTTTTGTTAGCTCAGCGTGAGCAGTCGGTCCAACGCAGACATTAACTCTCATTACGCATGCGTTAATAACGTAAACAAATATTTATTTTAAATTTGTATTGATTTTGTGATTGTCGACCAGTGTTTTAGAGAACAAATAATGACTTTGTCCAAGAAAAAACACATTATAGCTGAGCTAAATGAAGAGTGCTATGCTTAATGAAGAAGCTATGTTTAATGTCAAAGTCAAAATCTTTTCTGATTTTAATGTGCTGTTGGATGTAGTCCGCCATTGCTTCTGTGGTTAACGTCACGTTGTAATCCAACTGCAGTTGAGTTGGACGGCAATTGTAGTTCAAGATGAGCGTTCGATGACGTATACTATCAAACTCACAAATGGACCAATCAGAGGTTAGCGCTGATTTCCAGCTGACGGCGTCCTGTCCTAAGAAACCAGACCTTTAGTCTTAGCATTTACTTTTCTTGACATTTATTAGCAAAATTAAGACGTTCTTGTCCATCAAAATGTATTAATATCTACTTAGTATCATATCATAGCATAGTAATTAATACATAGTACAATGTATTAATATCACAATATTTATATCTATATATCAATCTGAAATCATTTGAGGGCAAGTTTTTTTTCTTCTAAATTTTTAAAACTAAAAACAGAACAGTTTAGCTCAAATTTTTCATCACTTTTTTAAAAAGGCAGTTCCTCGATCAAAACGAAATGTTGTATTGACCAAAAATTAAACTTCATTATTTCTAAAATGTTTATTTGCTTCAAAAATACTCGTTGTTTCTCCAATAAAAGCTGTAATTAGCTGACACTTTATTGTTAAGTTAGTACACAGACTAGTTAGTATATTGTTCAAATCATTTTTAGTTCGCAAACTAAATGTCTCGAATTTGGAATTATAAAAAATTTGGTCCAAATTAATGTTTCAGCATATTGTCTGCTATAAACTAAAATTTTTTTAAATAAAAATTTTAATCACCATCATGCAAACTGGCAAGATCTAAAAAAAAAAAATGCGTTTTACTTACCTTGTCCCAAACCCAGAAGACCATAGATGCCCATTCTCATATTTCGAAGAGGAACGTTTTGGGATCCATCGGGTAATGGAGGATCACTGCTCCACACACTCAACCAAACATTTGATCCAATCTTATAAAACAAAATGCAGAGAAAATTAGTTTGAATTATTTAGTTTAGAAAGAAACGAGACGATTGAATTTTATGCAATGAACTCACTTCGAACGATTTGTAAGCAGAAAATCCTATGAGGAATAGAACAGTAAGAGATACAGTTGCGAATCGAAAGTAGATCCAGAAGACACTTGCTCTCACCTAGAAAATATGTCGGATTCTTATGTTTTTTTTTTAATGAATATCGGATATACAATCATTGGGTTGTAAAGGTGAAAGAGCTTAGTATGCAAAAGAAACCAAAATTTCAAAATGATGCTGTTTACATTACTCTAGCGCCAAACCAAACCTTTAAGCATTATTTACTGTACGATATGTAATGTCACTCATATATAGAGAGCTCCACATTATCATGCATAATCTATCGATACACAATCAACCTCTCACAATCTATCATGTATAATCTTAATTACACTCATGACAAACCTAACTTTTAAAGATGGTTTATTTCACGATATGTAATGTCCCTCTTATGTAGAGTGCTCCACATTATCATGCATAATCTATCGATACATAATCTACCTCTCACAATCTATCATGTATAATCTTAATTACACTCATGACAAACCTAACTTTTAAAGATGGTTTATTTCACAATATGTAATGTCCCTCTTATGTAGAGAGCTCCACATTACCATGCATAATCAATCAATTCATAATCTACGTCTCACAATATATCATGCATAATCTTAATTACACTCGTGACAAACCTAACCTTTAAGGATGGTTTATTTTACGATATGTAATGTACCTCATATATAGAGTGCTCCACATTATCATGCATATTCTATCGATACATAATCAACCTCTCACAATCTATCATGTATAATCTTAATTACACTCATGACAAACCTAACTTTTAAAGATGGTTTATTTCACGATATGTAATGTCCCTCTTATATAGAGAGCTCCACATTACCATGCATAATCAATCAATTCATAATCTACGTCTCACAATATATCATGCATAATCTTAATTACACTCGTGACAAACCTAACCTTTAAGGATGGTTTATTTTACGATATGTAATGTACCTAATATATAGAGTGCTCCACATTATCATGCATAATCTATCGATACATAATCAACCTCTCACAATCTATCATGTATAATCTTAATTACACTCATGACAAACCTAACTTTTAAAGATGGTTTATTTCACGATATGTAATGTACCTCATATATAGAGTGCTCCACATTATCATGCATAATCTATCGATACATAATCTACCTCTCACAATCTATCATGTATAATCTTAATTACACTCATGACAATCCTAACCTTTAAGCATTGTTTATTATACGATATGTAATGTCCCTCATATACCTAGAGCTCCACAATATCACGCATAATCAATCGATACATAATCTTCGTCTCACAATCTATCATGTATAATCTTAATTACACTCGTGACAAACCTAACCTTTAAGGATGGTTTATTTTACGATATATAATGTCGCTCATACATAGAGTAGTCCACATCATCGTGTATAATCTTATTGAAAGAGGTATATATTCAAATACAGATTTTATAGATAAGAATAGTAGTAACTATGAAGAAAAACAGAATTAATAAAAAAATTCTTTGAATTAATGTTGTGAAAAAAATAAATATCCACACTGGTCGTCCAAAGTGATAGTTTTTTATTTTTTCAGCTTTCTCCTGTATAATATTCTTAATTTAACAATGTCAATGAACAATGGCAGTTATTTATTTACAACTGTTAAAAATTTATAATGTTAACTTACATCATTGTTGCAAATTGTTTACAATTTGTTACCAGTGATATAAGAGTACAAAGCATTAGTTTCTTATTCAATTTTTTTAAACTTTTTCTCTCCTGTACAACATTCTTAGTTCAACAATGAACGATAAACAGAGACAACTATTTATTTACAAGTGACAAAAAATAAGATCACTCCACGAAACTTCATTGTTTTTCAATGCAAAGTTAAATGTAGTAGACAATCTGTCGCCAATGATATGGAAGTTGTAGGATATCCTTAGTAGACTTTTTTGTCGTAATTCAAATATAGCGGTTTATAGCTTGAAGAATCTCTGGAACAAAGAAGTGGTTTCCGCGTTTTAAGAGTCAAGTCATAATAGCTAAAACAGAGATGTCAACTGCTCCGGTTTTCGACAAAATATTTCACAAAATGGAAGAGAACTAACTACAAACTAAAGTTTGCAGGTTTTCGGTTAATTTTGCGAACTTTTTAAAATGCTTAGCGGGGCCCTAATTGTAACAAAGTGGCGTATCACGTAATACTTTGAAATATTTGGAAGTAAAAAACCAATAAAATGAATTTACTAAACCAAGAATTATAAATGAAAAAGAAGAAGAGGAAAAAAAAGACCACCACTCGAAAATGTTTATCTGTTGTCCGGAGCAAGTTGACATCGCTGCTAAAGTCCTGGGAAGTATGTTTGCGGTTTCCGGGATTTATTTACAGGAACCTCATTCCATTTCTTCACCAACTTTTGGATAATCTTACCAGTGCACATGTACCTAAATTTACTTACCCTTTGAAGACTTTTATCTACCATCTTGTAAGAAAATGCAGATTTGCCGTCTAGAGACCTTGTTGACATCGCTGTGTTGTACGATCTTTGGCGCATTCAATCTTTATCCATTGTTTCTGTTTCGAAAACACTACGTTATGCTAACTAACGCGATGCTATGTTTTCTTCGTGATTTTAGTAAACGATAATCCATTTGTTCTAAGGTAAGATGAAGCGACATTATTCGGTTCCATTAGACGATGTCTTAACAGTTGAGTAGTCACTGTTAAAGTTTCAATCAACCCTCGTCGTAAATAATACTTGTTCTCAAGGCTTAATCAAGCGTTGACAGCCAAAAGCATTTCTTATAACTAAATCCAGGCTAAAGTAACAGACTCTATTAAATTTTACAAAAACAACCATTCACCCGTCATATTCCGTGCTGAAGATTGATTGTGCCAGATATTTTTAATATAATTCAATCGAGTTCGTTAGCTTTTTTAGAACTTTTATTTTAAAGTAAGCTTTTTATTTGAAAATTTTAAGACTGTGAAGAGTTATCCATTTTCGAAAGTTGAGCCACACTTTACGCAGTGAAGTGTTATTTACTTTGCGGCTTGTATATACCACATACCGAATCAACATTGATTTACAAAGTGTTTGAAAATTTACTTACTCTTCCAGCTTCCATTTTTTCCTTCTCAATAATTCGAACTTTTTTGTGGAGAAGTTCTCCGTGTTTTATTCTTTTTGCTTTTTCTTCGACGGATAAATGTTTGGAGATTGTTGTGGAAAACCTTCGACCTTTGATCTGTATTTGAGTTTTGAGTTCTTCTGTTGACATATTCTTAAGCTGTTCTACTCTTTGATTATCTAGTTCTCTCGGAGTAGGAATACTAATGAAAAAATAAATAAATAAAAATGTTGTCATTATTTTTAATCTCTATATTTATATACAATTCATTTTGGTTTTTAAAATAATATAAAAATCATAATTTACAGTATTTAGATCCGTTTGTATGCTTGAAAACATTAAATTATCATTTCAATTGAATTTAGTGGAAAAAATATCCAACGAGACATTTTCGAAATATTTAGATTTATCCAGGAAATAAGATCATATTCTAGTCTGAATTAGCAGCACGACTATGATTTATTTTACATAAGATTATATATGAAGAAAAAGCCAAATTCAAAAAAAAAAAAAAAAAAAAAATCCTGCATTTAATAAAAAAAATATATCGCTTGAGTTCTTTTTTTCTCACTATCTTGAAATTTTGATTTCATTTTTCCCACAACTTTTTTTCGACTTTAACAAACTTTTAATTATAGAAAATTAATCCACATCACAATATCTTTAAAAAAGGGGTGAAGAAAGCCGTCACTTAATTCCTTAATGGTAGTATAAATTGAAAGAAAACGATCATAAAAGTGCCTATTTCTTTATTCAAGAAAATCATATAAAACTAAGCATTACAATATATGTATTCATTTTTAATTTTTAGGTTAATGGCAAATTACATGTTTGATGAGTTCGGATATCCAGCTAAAAATAAGCTACTTATAATCTCGTTATAAATAGTCTGGTATCGCCACCTAGTCTAGAGATTGGGAAATAAACATGGATCCGAGCATAAGAAATAGAATGCTTTTATCTTTTTGGCTCGTTACTTTGGAACACTCCAGCTCAAAAATGTCGCAGGCACGACAATTTATAACTACTCAAATTTTCATTTTGTGGCGTAGATAAATTAACTGTTAACCGAGCTTAAAGTCAAGACGTAACTTTAACTTTTAGTTCTGAATTTAAACAAAACTGGTTCTGAAGCAGGAGAAGAGATTTCACCTTTCTCAAACATACGCAAAGCAGAGCTTGTTAAGGCTGTTTTTTGAAGGCTATGTCGCAATATGCAATGATGCTTTTCTGCGAATAATATGCTATTTTTATAACTGCTGTAAGTTTGCAACTGTTACTCATTACTAGAGCCCGGATTTTGATGACCTAAAAAATCTCAATTAATGCCCTTATGAACTGCAAAAAATTCCCTTAAAATGCGAAAATTGCGCTAAAAATGTCTTATGACATGACTTAAATAGAAGTAAAAATATTGAATTAAAACAATGTTTTACTCTTTAAAATTATTATGAGTCGTTTCAAAAAATATAAAGCAATGCAATACTTGTTCTACGTTCATTAAAGTTTGACAAATATGTTTTATATCCAAAAATAACAAAAAAAAGGAAAATATATTGACTCCAAAACATTTTCATTTTGTATAGAAACTTAAATGAATATAACAACTTCCATCTCATAATATTACTAAATATCAGAATTACAGTGGATTATTAAATTTTTTTTTAATATTTTGAAATGTAAACGAGCGTCTCTTGTCTGAAAGCAAATTTTTACACCAGGAGAAGCTTCTTTCAACGTCTACTGATGTTATTGGTGCGTACTTGAAAAGGACGGTCACACTTACTGACAATTCTTCTTCAATTTGAAAAGATGTTGCTTCACCTGTTAATATCCTAGAAATTTTCTTCATTGTTTAGAAGCCAGTGTAATAATAAAAAATTATAAAAAATAATAAAAATTATAAAAAATAATAAAAATTATAAAAAATAATAAAAATTAGAAAAATTTAACAAAAAATTTAAAAAATGCTTTAAAATGCAAAATACGCCCCAAAATTTTAAAGAAAATGCCCTATAAATCTCAAAAAATGCTCTAAAGGACAAAGAATGTCCAAAAATGCAAAAAAATGCAAATGTCATCAAAATCCGGGCCTTACTCGTTACTGTTAAGTCAAGTTTAGCTCTGTCTACCAGCGCTGTCTACGCTTAGTTTGAAAATAGCGCAAGACGTCAATTAGGAGAAAAATCATAGTTATGTGAAAATGAAAAGCGTTTGTGATCTAATTTTCTAATATGTAAAAACTTACTCCTATGCTGCATTACCTGAGCTCATAAAAATTTGCCAAAACTGAGAATAAGTCAGTAATGTTTATTAAATTTCATTTAAGTGAAAAAATGTCGCCAAATTGGCGATTATTTAAAAAAAGTTTAATAATTTTTAAAGTATTTAAATTATTTGTCTGTTCTAAAGACAGGAAAATTCTTCGCGGCAAGGTTTTATATACAGTTTAAAATCCTCGCATTGCTTCAAGTGTAAGGCATTTAAACTATGGCTTTTTTTATTTCCCTTTTGGACAGAACTTCGAAAAACAGTAATAAGAAGAGGAAACGGTTGAACTTCTTTCCTTGTTTTGGAGATCACCTTACTTATGAGGCAAACCTAAACATTCAAATCAAAATAATTAAGAGGCCCCGTTCCATTCGCGTTGTGTATTAGAGGGCGAAACTGCACTTACTTTATTGATAAGAGCGATATGGAAGGGCTTAAATAGATTGAGGAAAATTGCACTTGGTAGCATTTAAGAAATCCGATGAATTTTTTTCTCAAAAATTTAAAACAATAGTACTTTGTAATATTAAATTGGTTATATAATACTGAACATTTAAGTACCCCGATTTTCCGATTGTAGTTGGGCGCCAACTTTTTATTTCACAAGTTTCGAAGGACATTGTTTAGTAGACATTGTGAAAATTAAATAAAATATAATTTGTGAAAGCTAAATATCAATGGCTATATCTAATTTGTACCCTCTTTAGTTCGCATTTTTTGGATGTTGAATCCAAACGCGAAAGTAGAGACCTTTAAAGCTGTAGTGTTTTAACATTTCTTACATATTTTAGAATTTAATAAATCTAAAAAACAATAGATAAAATCCATGGGGGCGTTGGGGATGGAGCATTCGCTTCTCAATGAAGAGACCCGGGTTCGAACGCCAACGATGGCTCATTGATGCGCACATTTCTCACACGAACCACAGTGCTAATCAATATCTACAGTTGTTATGGCTTATCGTCGGAGGTTTTTGTAGTTTTCCACTACATATGACGCAAATGCGGGTTAGTTTTATTTAAAAGCCCTCCACGAAGACAAAATTCTTCCAATGCTTGATCCAGAAGTTCGTTGCCTTCTGAATTGGGTTCAAAATTATAGAAGTTGAAAATTAGCATTGGTGAACTCAAAATTGGGTCGACTCTTCAACGAAGGTTATAAGCATTAGATAGTTATTGATTGAAGCTACGAGAATTCGAATATTGTAGTTAGATACATAGGTGTGTAAAAATTGATGCAAATTACTGACAATTATTGAGGCACGGGTGCTACCTGTCATCCGTTTCATAATCCGTTTCTTCATCAGATTCATCTTCATCTTGTTTTCTCCTGTGGTCATCGATGAGGCGAGCGAATTCTCCCTTCTGCTCCATGAGTTCACTGTAACTGCCAGACTCCAGTATTCGTCCTTCCGACATTAGATAGATCTTGTCCATCTCTTCAAGGGTTGAAAGGTCATGAGTTGCCAAAATTCTGGTCTGTAAGAAGAAACATATTTTAATCTCACTATAATGAACGCTCAATTGTTGCGAACGTTATTAGATGTCCTGTCCGAACTGTTAGTTAACTAATGTTATTTCTTGCTCTTATAGAGAACAGCTAAGAAATTGGAAGTTCATTTAAAGTGGAATAAAATTTTCCTTCTGCAGATATTTGAATAAATGTTGCACAATTTTTAGTCCATGTGATAAGTTTAAAAAAAGATGACAATTAGTTAAAAATGAAGTAATGAACCATGAACAGGCACATGGAAGAATGAGTTGGTTGCACTTTCTTCAAAAATAACGGAAATTAAAAAGACAAGCATCTAAAACATTCCAATAAGGGCGGAGTGTTATTTGGTGTACCAATCAAAAAGTTTGTTATAGGAAGAAATTCACTGTAATCCAACTGTGCTATTGAGGGACTCAACATCTAAAATGACCAACTTCCGAAAATGGCGAAAATCGGAAAGATAAGCTTTTTAAAAATTTGTTTTAAGGAGGGTATTTTAAATGTTGTTTGGTGTTCCTATTAAAAAGTTTGTTATAGGAGGGAATTCACTGTAACGGAAATTCGCTGTAAAGGGACTAAACATATACAACTGTATACTAGACATAAACAACTTTTTACAACTGTATAATGAACTTATTCCTCGGTTCGGAGATATTCACTATAGCGGGGTCTGACTGTATCAACAGGGCTGAAAAGTAAGACGGAAAATAAGAAAAATTGGTAGTAAAACCATTTTATTTATAGCTGGTTTTCGTGAGAAGTAAAATAAGCTCTTCCATTTCTTAATTATAAACTCCTCGTAACTATTTATTTTTCCTCTAGTTAGAAGCAGTCCTACATGTATGTGTCATAATTGTGGAACAAAATTTGAGAGTCATAGATATGTATTTCAATTTACCAAACTAGTAAACGTTTATGACAGACCAAACTAAAAAAACACGCGTTTATCAATTTTAAAGCATTATCAATACTAAATTTGTCTATAATTTAGTTACAATTACTACACCCTTACACCGCTAACATACTCATAAACTTGCTAGCAACCCCACAAACAATAAAAATCGTTACCACCCATTGAGGGAAAGGATAGAACCCACGTTGAATCCAAACTTTTGTGTGGTTTAATGCAGGCCCAAGTAGATTTTAAAATGGACCATACACTGTAATCTATGGGACATGAATTACATCATGCATTCCATGCAATCTACGGATTTTGTTTGGCATTGTTAAAAAAAATACCCATAAACTGAGACAGATATTATAAAATATTTCAAAATTAAAGTAATAGACAAGCATGCTTATAAAAAAAAAAGTTGTTAATTTCTATTCCATACAATATTTTAGTCCGTCTTTTTAAAAATTTTTTTTTTGGTGTACCCTATAATTACACTTATAGTATAGCAATGCAATAAGTATAATCATTGAAATTTAGAACAATTTTAGAACTGTCCTATTCATTTTGTTAAACAGTATGAGGTGTGAAAGTTACTTTCCGTAAGCTTCAAAATAATTCTTAAATAATAATTAATTTTTAAAAAACACCTAATTTCATCTGAAGAAATATCCTATTACATTAAACTAGGAGGCTTCGCCCCCTGCTCGCTGGCGCTCGCCAACCCCCAGAACTGCTTTCGCAGTTCATTTCGGATTGCTTCGCAATCCGATGCTCGCTTTGCTCGCTCATTGGATACGTTCTTAACGTCTAGCTTTTGTATACTTTTTTGAACACTGAAGTTCCGAAAACTTTTCACTGTAGAAAATTCTAAATCTGTGCATTTCGATATTAGTTTGAAATTGCAAACAGTTCACATATTTTTCTTAATCACGCTATTCTAAATTTCAGTTGTTGAGAAAAGTAACTGTTGTAAGTTTTGTTTTAAAGTCTTTCCCACAAGAGGGCTAAAACCATGTGTTGTAAAACAATATGAAATAGTACTNTAGGCATAAGTAACGTCTGAGCTAACGTTTACCACTAGCAGATAACCACCGATAACCATAAACGCCTTGCTACAGCCGTCTATTTTATTCGGATCCATCCGCCGTTCAGTGGTCGCCGCTCAGCATACGCATGCGCTACGGGTTTGAAATTCTAATCATTTGCATATTATGCTCTACTTTGCATTTCCTGAAAATTTCAGCTCACTCGCGTAAGTCCTTAATGATGTTGCAATTTTCACAAACATGAGTTTAATAATAGTAATAAAATGGAATTTTTTTTCATTTTTTTATACTCAATACCTTGACGGATTATTTTTGATATTTTAGTATTATTTAGTTAAATTAAGAGGAAAACTGAAAGACATACATCAACTCAATAAAATGGCTAAAATATTTTTTTTCTTTAATTTATAATTTTTGTACCCTTCACGTTTTATCCGATAAAGCAAAATGCGTTTTTAGAAGTTCATTCATCAAAATGATAAGTATTCCGTTTGATTTGGAGTGATATTGTTGATCGAAGCAAAATCATAATAATTAAACAAACTTCCTGCGCTTCTTATCCCTTTCGCGGAGCTGCAAAAAAATCTCTTTTACAGTATCTATATTAAAGCTAAACAGCATCGGTGCAGATTTAATAGTCATCAACGCTACCTATATAATATCTTATACCTATATTGATATATCTGGTACCTATGGAAACTAGACCAAATACCAAAATATCAGTAGTGCCCACTTCCGAAATTAGTAAAGCATCATTGGAGTCAATAATAGTATGACGAATTCCTACGCTTCTCTATCATTGTTTCTGCTTTTGGCATGCAAGAGTTTTTGGCCTAAATAATTTTTTATAACTTGGTTCAGCTTTTTGCCGTTAAAATGATTGAAAATCAATAATTTTAAATTTTTTATAATTGTAATAATTAAGCTAATATCGCATGTTTTTTAACACTGTTTAAATATTTGTACAGATAAAAGCTAATAAACTGCAATATAATCGATAAATTTCTTTTAATTTTAAACTTGGCAACAACTGTCGCTGCGTGACTGTGACGTCGTAAGCCCTAAGCATACCTGCTCATTCAGTTTGCATTAACGAAAGATTCAGTACTGGTAGATACGTGTATTTAGAGTTACATTATCGCCGTGTAAGAGAAATATATATATAGATAGATTAGCCATATGATGCTCACTACGTGCTCTTGTCTATCAATTAAAAATGAAAACTGTTGCCAACGCGAGAAAAGAAATATCATCGGTTTTATTGATACATACGTACGTATTAGCGTTTTATACAATATAGATAGATTCTGGTTCAACAGCACGGTTGTCATCTAATTACTCGAGGTGCTTTTTTCCGTATGATATTTTTAAAATCCACCAAATAAACGAGACGTCAAAATTAAGTCATATATGCCGAAAGATTGATTGAAAACATGGGCGTCGTGGGTGGGGGAACGGGGGGTAAATGCCTCCATCGATAATAAGAAATCTCTGAAAGCTCTCCTCAATATTTCAAACAAATAAACGAAATTTTTATGAACCATCATTGACTTAAATTCATCAAAGTTAAAAACAAGAAAACTATTAATCTTTTTGCAGATATTTAGCAGGTATGAGGATTTTTTTCTTACGTTAGAGATCTAGTGCGACTGTGTAATTAAATTTCGTCTTAAACTAATTGTAGACGATTGTTCAATGTATATCTAAAGATAGAATATGATCAATTTTATTATTTATTTATCAAGATAAATACTTCTTTTAATATAATCGCTGTCATGATTTATTGGACAACACAATTATATTGAACAGGCGAGCATTGACTTACAGTTTAATTCACAGTTAATCTTATCCGTAAATAAAGAAAAAAAGATTACATTATTTTGTGTAGAATAACTATAATAATTTAGAATAAGTATACCTTATTCTTGAGAACTCCTTCTGGTCCTATGACATGCTGGAATATGTGAGCTCCCACATGAGAATCAACCGCACTCAAAGGATCATCCATAAGATAGATGTCAGCATCTTGGTAAACTGCCCTGGCCAGGCTCACCCTCTGCTTTTGACCACCACTCAGATTCACACCCTAAATACAAGAATAGGTTGGTTTTTTTAATATAACCCTTGTTGAACAGCCGACCCTATTTTATGGGTTTACGACTACTGATGTTCAACTCCGTAGCCTTGTCAATTTGAGCCTAATTCAATAGGCAAGGCTACTCCTGAATCGAGTATTGGGAGAAATTTGCCTTCGTGGAGGACTTTTTTTTATGGAGCTAACCCGCATTTGCGTTACATGGAAAGGAAGACTACGAGAACGTTCCACGGTTAGTCTGACGGCAAGGAGACTCTAACCCACCATCCATCTACCACTGAGGATATTTTATGTCTGCAATGTAGTCGGTGTGAGCCGGGTGCAGAATTCGTATAAACCGGGTATAACCGGAATTCGTATAAACCGAGCCGGGTGCGGAATTGGTAAAAAGTTGCTCGACTTTATGCGTCGGGCTTAGGCAAGAGTGAGAGAGAGGTATGAAAGCTAAGATGACATCATACATATTTATGGAGATTTATGGAGATAAATATGGAGAGAGTATGGAGATAAATATGGAGATAAATATTTAATGAAAAATATCCTTACAAATTCTAATTTATTTTTTTCCCTTTCATAATTTTGCCCACATACTGGATACGTAACATATAAATATTTAACAAATTCTTTTTATGCTATTTCTTTATCTAAATTCTCCTCCTTAATTTATTATTCCAAACGAAAAGCGTTCTCACATTTATTATTCACATCAGGCATTTTAGTTCCAAATTTTGATTAATGTATGCTAGAGTTAACATTTTGAGATTTCACTTTAACCGGGCGAGAGAACCGAAGAAATCCTTCGGTCTATTTTTTTTGAACGAGTCGTAAGATATAATAATTCCCTTAAAAGTTCATCAGTATCAGTTTGCAAGATTTTTCCTAGTTTCTCTACTCAAGCACTTCTGTCCCTTGGGCGATCGATCTCTTCATAATAATGGTTAAAAATAAACATTGCTGTTTTTTTTCGGCGTGCACCTCTCTCCTCTAATGCCTTCGACTATAGTTGCGGCGAAAGACCGAAATCGGTGGTTGTTGACTTTCACCGGTGAATGTTGACAAACACCAAATACGTCGGTGAAAGATCGTTATTAGAATATTTCATTACATTTTTGTACATTCGGACCCTCACCGGTGTATGTCGACAATCACAGATATGCTTTGGTGAATGTCCGAAATATTTATTACATTCGATTTTATATGAATTTATTCGTGGATATAATTACATTTATTCGATATTTTAACCCTACACAGATGCTTTTTTAAGGTTAAGTGTTACTGCCCGGTATACATTTGCCCGGTATACCCTACACTGATGTTTTTTTAAGGTTAAGTGCCACTGCCAGGTATACCCTACACTGATGTTTTTTAAGGTTAAGTGCCACTGCCCGGTATACATTTGCGCGATATACCCTACACTGATGTTTTTTTAAGGTTAAGTGCCACTGCCCGGTACACATTTGCCCGGTATACCCTACACTGATGTTTTTTTACGGTCAAGTGCCATGCCCTGTATACCCTACA